CTTATATGGCGAAGCGACTTACTTATGTTTTTTCCACTTTATTAGACATATTTGGACAGATGCAACTTATACAGCGGCGCGTACGGTGGAACGTACAGTAATAGAAGTACTGAAAACTTTTGTGTTGCTACTTTTTAAAATAAAACGGAACAACTAAAAGCTGCAGCGGCTTCAGCTGCCTCTGCTTTCAGTTTTCTTCGTCGATCGATGGACGTACACCTAGAGCAAGACACGATGCACGTTTTTGTTGTCCTGTTTTTTCTTTCCATCTCTGTCACAGCGAGCTGCAGCAGCCTCTTTTGTTCTTGGTGAGAACCTCAACAATCCTGAAAAGTCCATTAAAACGTGTTCCTATGAATAGTCTTGTTTACAGACAAACAAACCCAACGCCACAGAAAGCGCAACCTTTTGAATTCCACCGATGTAAAAAAAATTCACGTTGCAGAAACTAGAACTCACTTTTCATTTAATTTCACCTTTATTGAACCTGGCATGAACTCTAAGAACACATTCTTATTTACAGTGCCGGCCTGGCAGCACCAACAGACACTGGTAAGGTCATGGGAAGGGAAATAATACAGTTAGACAATAAGAAACAAGGAAATCACAAATTATATTAACAACAGTTCATTGTGAAAGTTAAACGACAACATTACTAAGCATGAAAACATTTGCAATAATCTTTAAACACAACTTTTAAACAATTTTTAAAACTATAAACTGAGACAAGTGAGGTCAGACCCAATTTTTTTTTAAGCAGCTTCTAGTCAGATGAAGCAGCAAAGCCAGACTGGAGAGTTGTTAACCACAAATACAGAGAGGATCGGGTGTTATACTGTGAAACTAGTGCTAGTTGCAGTAATTAGTTAAATATGGAGGTGAATAACTCAGCAATAAATGAATTTCACGCCGTGTATGTAGAGAAGCCATTTAGGAAAAGAGTAGAGTTGACGATGCTCTATAGCGAGTGTTTGTAACTAAGAGGATAGCAGAGTGATAAGTTGTGTCCAGCGTACAAAGAACACCCGTACAAGCGTATCTGTAAATTATGTCTCCGTAATCCAACAGAGGTAAAATGTTGTTGTTTTTTTCAACAACGGTGCGTTTTGCAGCCAATGTAAACAAAAGATTTATTTCTATGTACACTGTCTGGCCAGAAAAAAA